TCCTCTTTCTGGAAATAGGCTTCTGTCCAAAAGACATCTTGTTACCTCATCTTTCAACAGATCAAAGCTGTCAATAGTTTTGTTGACAGATCCTTTCATTAAATGCAACAACTTATTCTGAAATTTATAAAAATAAAACCAGAATTATGATGAATGTTGCATTATCCTTTAAAAAACAGAAAATTTTAGAAATTATCCGTTCAGAAACACAATTTACATAACTGATCGTTGAAGCTATAAGGCATAATTATCATACCAAAACCAGAATTAGTAACCAAAACAAGAAAATTGACTTTTTAATATATTAATATTCTTCACATTATAAGCTTTAAAATGAGAGGTCATTTACCAGAATCGACATCTTATTGCCAAATTTATAAATAAATGTCATACAGCTTCCCTGTACAGTAGACCTACAAGTATAATATACTACCACATTCTCATGCTAATTATTACTCAGTTTAACATTTAGCATACACTGGTTTTGGGATGGCAAGCCTTATACGGCATTTGTAACTACTAAAATTCAGGTTTTAGTACCTCATTTTTCAGAGCTGTTTCTGCCTTTTTTATTAGTCTCTCAAGCAAACCTTCAACAGATCCTTCATCAAGTAGGTCAGCATGGGTTCCTACAATGAACACTGTCTGGCTTACACCAATCTTCTTAAGGTAGTGCCAAACATTAATTTCAAACCAATCCTGATTATCTACATTGGTGTTATACTCTTTCAGATCAACAGTCAGTATGTACAAAGCATTGTGTACAATGAAGATTTCTGTAAGACCTTTATAATGTGCATCACCACTAAAGTCACGGATTGTGACATTGATGTCACGGATTACTGCAGACCGCTCTTCAATTCCTTCTGTGGGTTTAACCGCCCTTTGAGTTACATCGCTACATAGAGCACTGCAGACACTAGATTTGCCAGAATTAGAACTTCCCTGAACAATAATGAGAATTCTGTCATCCTTAAACCTTCCTGCAACTATTTCTTTGCAGTACCTGCGAATCTCTTGGATTGGTCGTGCAAGGACATCAGGTGGTGGTTTAATAATCGGATTTTTGTCAACTTGAACCACTTCAAGACTCTCATTCATGTACAAATAGTGTGGTACCTCCTTTATTTTATTTGAGGACATGTACAAGAATTGTAGACTCTTCAACTGACAAATGACTTGAGGGAAGTCATCCAGTCGATTATCTGAGATGTTTAAGTATTGAAGGCTTTGAAGATATTTAATATCTTCTGGAATATGTGTCAGTTTGTTGCCTTCAAGTCTTAGGATCTCCAAATCGTTATAGAAACCTAATCCCTTTTGGACATACTCAATACTGTTGTTGTTGACTTTTAGAATTTTCAGACGTTTCAATTTGCTAATTACATCTGGAAATATTCGACACTGATTATGCGAGATATCCAAGTTTTCCATTCCTAGAAATTCAGCAATGCTTGCTGGGAGATCAACCAGCTTATTTTTAGAGGCATCTAGAATTTTCATACTTGGAAAGTGGTCAATATCTAAATACTTCGGTATTTCTCGCAAACGATTACTAGAAATGCTGATCTTCGTAGTATGTTTGCATCTGTGATCACTCAAGATTTCACTTGGTATTTCATAGAACTGTCTACATTTCAGGGTCAACATAAAATCTCCAGTTGTTAAAGGTTTGAATTCATGATTCATTACATCAGTCACTGAAGATTCTTTATCAGAGGCTTGAATTACTGGTTTACCTGCCAGAGATTTTGAAATCTCCACATTAGTAACAGAAATAGCAAAGGTGGCACTGCTTGGGCTCTCAGAGAATGTATCACCGATATCTCTACTGGCAAGTCCTGGACTAAATACTTTGCTGCTGCTGCTGATACTACTTCTTGAGATAGAGGATTCCGCCGGATTGTCAAGATCAGATTTCTTTATTGACAATTTAGAAATGGTAACATCTGAATAATCATTAAGTTGTGTAATATCATCACTTAGTACAAGTGAAGCACAACTTGCATCTGCTTCTCCTGAAACACCTGTGTTGTCATTACCATCTGAAATTTTCATAACATTTTCATTTGATTTCAGAGTATTTGGGGAGGTTGACATCACCTGGGCAGATCTCGTATTTATAGTTATATTACCACTACCCTCCACATTGATAGCTGAATTGCTTGCAATCACAGATTTTGTTTCACTTGAAGTTACAACACTATGAGAATTTAGTCTTGGAGGACTACGCGCACCAGCATTATGTTGGAATTCCTTTTCAACAGGTGAAGTTGGAGTTCTATGAATTGTTGAAGCGGGTAGTAAAGAACTTCGATGAAACTGATTTTGGGATGGCCCAGGATACCTAAGTTGAGCTCCTCTGCCTCTTTGTCTTGAATTTGTTTTACTACCACGATAAGTGTGCCCTCCTGTAGGTACATAGCTCATACGAGGATTATAGGAAGGAAGGTTTGCTTCTACATTTTGGTCATAACCAGGGTAAAGTATCTCATTATATTGGTGATAATTTACAGTATATGGCTCAGGAGGGAATTGCTGCCTAATATGAACAGCAGGATTCTGTAGAATAGGTGGTTGATGTCGGTGTGATTGGTAACCACCTTGATATCCATGCCCAGGATGAAACTCAGTAAATTCAAGTGGCTGATATTCTGCATATACACTGTCGTCTTGTAGGTAATCACCTTGAATTGATGAAAAATGTTAGTATGTAGTTTAGTAGCAGTAGCCATCGTAGTAGAATATGCGCTTAATATCATAAGATGTATGTTTTTATTTATTATCAAATAAATTATTGTCATATCTAAAAAGATATTTTTTTTCCATTTTTCAGTTTACACCATATAGAAAGTGGGTTGGCTGAAAATGTTCAATTCTGTGACCCCGCAATCCATGCTACATGGCTTTTGCAAAAAAATAAAAATATCAATACTATTATATTGTTTAAAAAAATGATTGCCAGCAATCATGAAATTGGGGAAATTGTAACCAAAACTGAGAATTTATCAGTTACAGGTATAGCAAATCATAAGATGACTAACATTGAAGTTTGGCTCAGCTGCAAGGCCCTAGGCCAATCACAAACTACACAAGTTCACTTGCAAGTATGGCATTGTCTAAGAAAAAGTGGCCGAATCTGTTCAAAGTACATTTGTGGTTACATGTATGTTAAAAATGAGTGTTACTTCAGTGCGAGTTGCGAGTTACAAAATGCGAGTTGCGAGTTACATAATACGAATTGCGAGTTACAAAATGGAAGTTGCGAGTCACAGAATGCGAGTTGCAAGTTACAGAATGCGAGTTGCGAGTTACAGAATGCGAGTTGTGAGTTACAAAATGCAAGATGCGAGTTACAAAATGCAAGTTGCGAGTTACAAAGTGCGAGTTGTAAGTTACAAAGTGCAAGTTGCGAGTTACAAAATGCGAGTTGCAAGAGTTGCGAAATTGGCCAATCTCCTGTTTTGTCTTACAATAGCATTATTTAGGGAAACCATCTGAATAATGTAATAACATAGACCTAATGTAAACTACCAGTGTAAGCTCTCAGATAGAGTATGTGGTAAAAGTTGTGGTTGAGTAGTGATATTTCTTTTAGCTAAGTTCCACAGTAACTGACTACTCCTATTAGTGGTGCTGTGGTATAGAATAGCTTTATGGTCCTTTTGTTTTTTGCAAGTGCTAAGGCCACTTTGCAAATTAAATAAGCCTGTTCTCAGGCAACTTTTCTGGAATGGTTAAATGGTCCTGCTTACAAAGTGGAAAATGTTGTGGAAGAACAATTTAGCATGGACTTGAATAGTAGAAATGGCCCAAGAAAAAAACGGCCCCTACTGTAAAAAAAACTTCCCGGAAAAAAAGCCCCAGAAAAAATGTCCATATGACAGGTATGTAAAAATAGCCCCAATGACAAAATTTAGTAAGAAAACTTTTTTTAAATTCTTCCAACCATTTAATTGTTGCTAATACAAGAATTGAATAAAAAGCCAACATAAATCGTGCATTTTTCTAAACTAAAATAGGCCTAATTAATTTTTTTTAAAGTAATGTTTCGATTTATAATTTCTTCTTCAGGAATTATAAAAATTAATAAAATAATCTATAGATTAAATTAGTTTATATTTTCAAAAGATGCTAACTGCCAAGTAAGTTTTAAAAACATTTATGGTAGCCTAAGGCCAATAAATATTTTTTTAAATGTTACTAGATCTTATACTGATACCATTAATATCCAGCATACTACATTCTGCACAATACCGTAGCCAGCTATTAAGACAGTCAGAACTCTCTCGCCTTAATTCATATTCAATTTTCTTTTATTAAGTGAAGGACAAAAATTAACCATGGAATGGGTACATATTAGACTTTAGGTGTAAAATTAGTTTTTTTTTTTATAAGAACACTTAAATTTTGCATTTTGCAGTTTCAGTAGATTAAGTTGAACAAATATCACTTGATTTTTCACTCTCATAATGAAGGAGAATATGTATTAAATGACCTAAAGAGTGAATATACCAATCCACAAGAATAGTGTTGAATATTTCGCCGTATCAACGACACATCAGCAACTGAGACAGGAATTAGGCAGGCCAGGTCTTATATACTGTGCTAATAAGCTAACAGGTGTTGGAAAGTATTGAGAAAAAAAAAAAAATCAGGTAATAAGGAAAGCGTCACTAAGCTCATTCTTACGGTTTATAGAGGGCCTAATGCGATTGACACATTGTGCTTCCAACACACGATTCACAATTTTAAGTCTGTGAGTGCCATTTCCGGCCATCTAGACGTGCCATAATAATACATTTCTTATCTCAGCCCCACAAGGGCAACAACATCATTTTGCCTGAAATTGATTGTAGGACTATCATATTATATCCAGTGGCGGAATAAAGAGTGGTGGTGGGGGGGGGGGAGCTGCCGGCCCGGGGCCCCAATAAATTTGTCAAAATATTTTTTAACTGGAGATAAAAAGAAAATTATATTCTCAGAATTTTATGTCTGGGAATGCTATTTCCAGCCATCTAAATGTGCCATAATTCATAGATTTTCTTACCTCAGCCCCAACCATGGTGGGTCTGAGGTGGTATAGACACTCCAACTGTGAAAGTCCCTCCATATTATATCATTTATTCGTCGTTAAAAACATTTAGAATAACAATGCACATCTAAAATCCCACGATGGAATTGGTGACCGGGACCCAAAAAGGGCCCCCAGTTCCAGAAATACACAAGGGCCCCGGCCCCATCGTTACGCCACTTCTGACTCATAACCTACCTCTTTCTTTCTTCAAAATAATATTGAATGATCTCAAGAGGGGCGGCAGATTTGATATTGTTCTGCATTGTTAAAAAAATGCTGGCTACGGTATATTTCCATAATTCATACTTTTAAGCACCAAAAGATTTCTTTTTCCTGATAAGTGGATCACCTAACTTTGTCGACGAATTCAAATCGAGTTTTGTTCTTATTTTTTATACAAATTTATGTTACAATGTATTTCTATTAACATTGTTGTAAAAATAGCAGTTAGCCTAGTTCGGTGGGTCACAGAATTCATAAACTCAGCCGATTTTTGAGACGCAACCGATGGTCTAACAGCTTAAAACCATAAATTTCTGTGTGGGTCTGTGTAAAAATCTTTCAAAAGAAACACCAGTCCTATAAATTAGTACTAATACAGTAGTAATAATAATAATAGTATTATTGATAATATAATCCATAAATAGTTACTTCAATAATAATATTAATAATATAAATATGTTAATATCTTACCAGAGGGTTCCAGTGGAAAGTTACCTGACCCTCCGACAAGTCCCTCATTGAATCGAATGAAAATATTGCATTCATTTTTCAAGTCTTGTTCATAGAATGATAATTCAGTTTTCAACTGTTAAAAAAGCATACCACAACATAGTCAATTTTGGGCAAAAGTAGTTAGCATCATTTATAAATATAATAATTTAGTTTACTCTTGTGGTACAAGATTACTTCTGACTATAGCACTACCTTTTTGTTTCTTGCAGTGTAGAAATTTGCTCTATTCTGTAGTTCATTAGGCAAAAACTTTTTAAGACTTTTCACTGGATCAGACAAACTGATGTCTGTACAACATAACACCACTGGGCCTGGCACATGAAGAAAGAGCTGCTGCACCTTATTGGAAAAATCTGCCACAAAAACTCTCTGAAAAAAAAATGATTTGAATGTAACTGTTCCAGGAAACTGGATCCATTGTAATCTTTTATAGTGGTTTTGGAAGATTTACCTTCTTTTGTGTTACTACATGTAAGCTTTCGTAACATGAGTCTTGTACACCATGTTAAATTGATATACAGTATTTAAAAAAAACAGAAGTGACATTTTTTCAAAACTTGGGGTTTTCAATGTTTTTGATAAGTTCAATATGTACATTTCACAATTAGCAAATGTTCTGAGTGGGCGCCTAATGAAAATGTGAATATTAGTAGGTTGGAGAGGGTACAGATGAAAGCCACTAGAATTATTATTCATAGAAAAGAAGGAACTTGGGACACTTCATATTCATATAGATTAAATATTTTAAGTATTGAAGATATGTTTAAAGTTCATAGACTTTACCCTTGGTTTTAAGATTATGCATGTCTACTGTCCCTCTTCCTTTAATGATTTTGCTAGATCAAGTGATAGGTGTGATGGGTGTTTGATACATTTGAAGACCAAAACCAATACCTTTTTAAATTCATCTTTTGTAATTTTTCCAAGACTTTGGGAACAACTTCCAGTACAAATTCAGCAATCCTCAACCCTTTCTGATTTCAAAGCTCAACTAACTAAATACTTGATTGCAAGATACTGACTTGTGTTTTTCTGTTTTTATTTTGATATTCCTTGTTTTTACAAATTTATTACCTTTCTTTTTTACAGTACTAAAATTCTGAGTTAATTTTCAAATAAGGATTTTTAAAAATCAGTTCTACTTTTTTTTATGTTTCTCTTTTGCCTTTACTGTATGTTTTGATGATGGAGCAAGGGCAGTTTTACTGTTTGGGCTCGTGCCTATTCCTTGCTCCTGGCAAGATTGTATTTTTACTTTGCCAAATAAATATTATTATTATTATTATTATTATGTAAAAGATAACTTTATTACCACATTGGAATTTGGAAAAAGAATTTTTAACATCATCAAACATTTAATGTATGTATGTTTATATACATTTTTAATACCAATAACACCAACAATAAAATTAATACTATTAAAGGATAATAAGGAGAATTTAGGTAAAACTTCTTATCAGAATCAGAATCTCTAATCCACACAAGATCGTAAATTTTATCATAACATACAGTAGATATATGCAAAAATTACTGGAAATGTACATGTAAATAAATTAATACCATGTTTGACAAACCTTATAAAAAATTGTAAAAATCAAAAACAAAAATTTTCAGTTTGTTATTGGATATTTGTACAAATCATTTACCTCATCGGGTTCTTCAAGCATCTTCAGAAGAAGAGTTACCTGTTAAAATGACTTTCTCTGTGAATGAAAATAAAAAATTTTATAGTGCAGGTCTCTATATTTTTTTTTTTTTAAATATAAGTAAAATGAATCTTTGTAAAGTATTTCTGCCGTTTACGTTCCCACCTCTTCTTTGGCTTGACATCATTCTTTCAGATAGTCATTATTTTTATTGTCCATGGAAAAATAAATGTTTTTTAAAATATAGCAAATAGTAAATTTTTTGATTAGGCTCGAAAATTTGATGAGGGCGGGGACATGCAGGGGTGGCGCAAGTGGCCCGGTGGGGAGAAAAACCACAATTCGTCCAGTAGATAAAAATTGTATATGTATTTTCTACATTTTGGTGGGCATTTTGTTTGATGAGATAATTGTCAACCTCCACCTCAGGGACAAGACTACTAATCCCCCTTCTTTTCTTAGTCTGCTATCATCAGTTAGGAAACAGGAGGAGGAGGCATGTCTCAAAAGATAGTCAACACCTTCAACACACAACTCCACCTATTCCCGCTAATGAACAGCCTTCACAAAATCCTCAAATGCTGGCCAGGAAAGGAAGACGGCGAGACAACCAACGATCAGGGTACCATGGTAGACTTTTGCTTTGGGTATGGGGAAGCAGGCCATATTCCACATATCAAGCGCCCTGAGCATCTTACATTAGATGGATATGTGCGCTATATAAAACTACACTATTTTAAAATACCCTGTAGCAAACATTGAATTAATAAATCAATGTTAAGTCATATGCATATTTGAAAACTAAAATAACTTGGTTTTTTTAAAAGAATCTACTTTAAATGTCAAATAAGTTGCCATTTATATTACTTTTGCAGGAATAATTAAAATGAAATGAATAAAATAGTCAATAGATTAAAAATATACGTAATAAATACCGTCATCATCACATTTATACTGTAGAACTACAGTAGTTGCCACTATATTCTGTTAAATATTTGGTTCATAGTTTACTAATAGATTATTGTTTGGTACAAACAACATATATATAGATATACTACAGTATAAATAGTTATATAAATATGGCAATTATTCTAAAAATTAAAATGGCGTGTAATTGGGAGGTAGGTAATCATGAGAGGGTTAAAAGGTATTGATAACCCCACAAACCTCCCAAAACACACTGTATAAAATCAAACCATGTAATTGTGATTGACTCACTTGTTTTATCTAAGCAAATTAAATATATTCATAAGCACCTATTTTTTGGTTAAACTGATTTTTTTTTTTTGTGAAAAATACCTGCAAATACACCACAAACACACTGCGAACCCCATCCAAACCCTTTAATATGATTGTAGAACTCTCTTTCTATCTAAAAAAATATAATAATGTGATGTCCATAACAGCCTGTTTTGGCAGGGTTTAGCAATACCTACATTGCAGTTAACAATTTCTGAAAAACTGTAATTCCGCTTCCCTGAAATTTGCCACAACTTAATTATTTTAGTATTAAAAAATGCATGAATTATGTTGATTTATTGATTAAATTGTTGCTATCTTTTTACATTTTAATGGTAAAAAAAATAAAAAAATGTTATTATGGCTTATTATTTTTTTTTTATGAATATGCAATTCGTGCAAAAATTGAAATATAAATGGCAATTTATTTGATGTTAAATTCTTTTAAAAACTAATATATTTCAGTTCGAAAAAATGCATTTAATGATTTAAAAAAATCAGTTTTGATACAGAATTTTATTATTAGGGCCATTTTTACCTACCTGTCATTTGGGCCATTTTTACTACGGCCATTTTCACCTACATTCTGTTACATCAGCGCTTTGGCACATGCTTAAGACTGTACTAAGCATGACAGCACGGGCTTATTTACTTCGAGCAGCTACTATTTAGCTGGAATGTTCCATCTAGACACCCATTATACTTTTGCCTGGTAACAAGGACTGACCAACCAGGACACCCATATATTTTGGATTATTAACAATTACTGACCAAATAGTGGTCAGTGTAGATCATGTGACAGGGAGTATATTAGGGTTTGCCACAAAAGTTCTGTGTCTTTCTGCCTCTTACAATCAGAAACACTGGTCGTTTCAAATTGCTGACTTACAATTAAAGTCCTATTGCTGATTTACAACTTTAATATTTTACAAAGTACTGTTGCTTACAAGTTAGGTACTGAATGAGAAAGTTCACCTGACCATTGAAACTTTGAATTTTGAAGAACTTAAAAGTTATTAAAAGGCACCTGAGAAATCAGGAAAGCTCATTTCGTGCCATCTAGGAATCACAATTTTCTTGGTGGAGGACCCCCGGACCACCCTTTCTTTTTCGGGGTTTTGTGAAAACCACAAAAAACTAACCACAAAAAATAGTTGAAGACCATCAAAAGGTCTTCCCTGTTGCTCACAGCTTTACTGAACCATACTGTCAGTGATTTAGGCTTTTTAATCTTAGGCACCAATTTCAAATCTACTAAGTCTAGAAGAAGATGTG